AGGCTCCCTCTTCCACAGACATCTTCAAGTTGGCTGAAGCCAATGCCTGCTGGGCCCCCCAGGACCTGCGCTGCCTGGAGGAAGCCACGTTCCTCAGGAGCGTGGAGCTTCTGGGGGCTGTTGGGGGCTTCCTCCGGCCTCAGCTGACCGCCCTAAAGGAGAAGGCAATTCAGGTACAGTCCACCTGGGAGGGGTGTTAACAGAAGGAAAACCCAACCCCACGCGCCCAGCAAGGAGCGTCACCTGTTTTCTTGTTGCAATTTCACTGCGTGAAGGATCCAGGTCTCCCCCCTGTACCTCAGTTTCCTCCCCGGGCTACGCAAAGACTGTCCAGTGGGCGCTCCGTGAACCCCATGTGTGGGTGAACCCCAACTGCGGGTGAACCCCATTATGGGTGAACCCATCCTGTGGGTAAACCCCATCTGTAGTGAACCCCATTCATGGGTGAGCCCCATCCTGAGGGTGAACCCCATCTGTGTAAACCCCATTTGTGGGTGAACCCATCCTGCGTGTGGTCTGGGCCTAAATAGGATGGTGTTTAGGAGGTGCTCTTTTTCTTCCTCCCTCAGAGCCCCAGCTGAAGAGAACCAGAAGTTTGCCATTTTTATTGTTTCAGCTGTTAGGAGAGTTGTAGAATATATTATTAGAGGCCCGGTGCACAGCATTCGTGCACTGGGGAGGGGTGTCCTTCAGCCCGGCCTGTGCCCTCTCGAAGTCCAGGACCCCTCAGGGGATGTCTGCCTGCTGACTTAGGTCTGCTCACTGCTCCTTAGCACTGCCTCAGAGGCAGGAGAGGCTCCTGCCACCACAGCTGCGCTCGACAACTGTGAGCCCAGCTTCTGGCTGAGTGGCGCTCCTCCTGTGGGAGGACACTGACCACCAGGGGGCAGCTCCTGCTTTGAGCATCTGCTCCCTGGTGGTCAGTGCACAACATAGCAACCAGTCATTCCTCTGTTCGGTCGATTTGCATATTAGGGTTTTATTATATAGCAGCGGTTCTCAACCTGTGGGTCACGACCCCTTTGGCAGTCGAATGACCCTTTCACAGGGTCGCCTAAGACCATCCTGCATATCAGATATTTACATTATGATTCATAACAGTAGCAACATTACAGTTATGAAGTAGCATCGAAAATAATTTTTTGGTTGGGTCACAACATGAGGAACTGTATTTAAAGGGCCAGGAAGTTGAGAACCATTGTTATATAGGATTACAAAAAAGTCAGAAAATAAGAAAGGAGATTAGTCATAATCTCTCAGCTAGAGATAAGCACTGTTAATATTTTGGTATATTCACCTGAAGCTAACTAGATTTCTGTGTATAATAGTATATGTAAAATAAATTTACTATTTCATACTAAAAAATAGTATCACACTTACCTACTCTTCAATAACATCAGCCCACACCCAACACTATACAATGTATATTTTCCACATCAGAAATATAAATTTATGTCCATATTTTAAAAAGCTATATGATATTTTATTTTATGACTGGTTCTTATTTATTTAGCTAATTAGTAGACTTTATTATTTTTTAAAATGTATTTCTATTGATTTCAGAGAGGAAGGAAGAAGGAGAGAGAGATAAAAACATCAATGATGAGAAAGAATCATTGACTGGCTGCCTCCTGCACACCAAGTCATGTGCCCTGACCAGGAATCAAACAGTGACCTCCTGGTTCATAGGTTGACACTCAACACCAGCTGAGCGTAATCGGTAGATTTTTAGATTGTTTATATTTTTAATGCCTCAAGGTCCATATTTGCACATATTTCTTTGGGTACTTGTCTCATTATTTACTTAGGTTAAATTTCCAGAGATAGAATTTCTGTGTAAAGGAGTATAAATATTTTTAAAACCTTTATTATATAGTAGAGGCCTGGTGCACAAAATTCATGCAGTGGGTGGGGGGGAGGGGTGTCCCTCAGCCTGGCCTGCGCCCTCTCGCAGTCTGGGAGACCCTGTGGGAATGGGCCTACGCCGTCAGTTGGACATCCTTAGCGCTGCCGCAGAGGCGGGAGAGGCTCCTGCCACCACCACTGTGCTTGCCAGCTGTGAGCCTGGCTCAGGGCTTCTGGCTGAGCAGCACTCCCCCTGTGGGAGCGC